TGAACAGCCGAACTGCAGAACTGCAGTCAGCTAAAGTGGCCTGCAGTGCTGCATTTAACCACTGCGCCACCTCGGCTCAAAGGGGACGGAATGTAGCCTTATTAATGTCAGCATAGAAATAAAAATATACAAACTAATCTGCTGGGGATCCCTTTGTTTCCATGGCCTGGATAAAGAGATGTAGCAATAATTGTAAGATTGTGTATGCCAGCACCCAAGATTACATTAGAAATAAGGCGGGGCGGAATGAATGGTAGTGTAAGTTTCATCAGCTGCTTTGCTGGCAAGTTGGAGTTGTTTGTTAAGATTTACATATTTTTAAGTGCCTGCAACCATCTATTTGCTAGCAGACGTGGTTACAACTAACAGCAGAAGGTGCTCTCTGACTGAGAGGTGTGGCAAAATGAGGTCCAAATCTCCACACAAGAAGAAAGAAGTGTGCCAAGGAAAAAGACCTCACAGAAGAAAGACATACATTATGCCAGAGATATGTTTCCATAACAACCACAGAACACTGATTGAGGGATTTAAAAAAAAAAAGGAGATCCATGAACACAATAGGCACTGAGTCCAGCTGAATGCTGGAAGGGGCGAATTATACTAGCTCTGATATTTTTTTAAAAAGTATCTATAATATTTATGGATTTATTGTGTATAATATATACTTAGTGCTATTTATGCAGAACACATGCCATTTTCTGAGCAGGTACATACACATTGCAAGATGACATCAAGAAAGGCCAGTAAACAATAATAATAAAAGTAGATGTTGACAAAATACAAAATAAAGTTATGTACCATCACAAAAATTAGCACCATTTGCAAGTAAATGGAGGCGATGTACTTTCTTTTCATATTAAATTCAATGACAGTGACAGATTTGCATTCAGAGGCAAAGGGGATAAGGTTATATATGCGCCTTTGTTTATTATGAATTTAACATACATACATTGAAAAAGTAAACAGTAGCAGCTGAGAAGGGTAGGTTGATAATTACCTGAACAGTAGGAAACAGAGAATATTAAATATTTTCTTCCCCGAAAGAGCTTCTTCTGGAAATGCTACATGCATTGGGGGGGGGGGGGGAATCCTCATTAGTGCACCAATAGATGAACAGATTTTATCTATATTTACATTAAAAAATATTCATTCACTTTACATTATTTATTATATTTTTAATCATTCCCTCCAAAAATTCTCTATTATTGCACCTAGCAATAAAAATGCAAAATCTAGAACAGGTACAATAAAATTTAGAATAAATTGATAAGAAAATATGTGAATACTATCCATCACAAATAGTTCTTGTTTAACAATAACAATGGTGATTTTTTTAAAAAAGTAACTTTGTGACTTTGCATTTATTACTTTTTTCAGGTCTCCTTTGCTTAACAATCTAGTTGCTGATCCCAATTGTAGTTGCTAAACAAGGAATATCCATATATAAAAATACTTCCTATCACATATCCTTTAATGCAGTTGCATGCCTGCATATTTTCTTGGGAATGACTATTGCTGGCTATGACTGTTGTGGGTCAGATTCCCCAAAAAGTGAACCCCAAGGAAGATACGATAATTAATAAAGATCTATTAAAATGGCTCAGTGGCTAAGTGGCTAAAATCAGAAGGTCAGCAGTTCAGGGGTTCAAATCCCTAGCACCACATAACGGAGTGAGCTCCCGTTACTTGTCCCAGCTTCTGCCAACCTAGCAGCTCAAAAGCACGTAAAAATGCAAGTAGAAAAATAGGGACCACTTTGGTGGGAAGGTAACAGTGCCACGTGCACCTTCAGCATTTAGTCATGCCGGCCACATGACCACAGAGACCAGGGCAGAGGTGGGTTCCTACCAGTGCGCACCTATTTGGTAGAACCGGTTCGTCAAATCTACCGAACCGGTTAGAAGAGATTCCACCAGTGGACCCGGAAAGCAGGACACACCTACAGAAGAGGCTCCAAAATTGTTTGAAACCCACCACTGCTACACACACACACACACACACACACACACACAGAGACAGACTGACTGACACAGAGAGAGAGAGAAAGAGAAAGGAAGAAATAAATAAAGAAAAAAGAAAGAAAGAAAGAGTGAGAGAAGAGATGAAAGAAAAAAAGAAAAAAGGGACAGAGAGACAAAAGGAAGGAAAGAGAGAGAGAGAAAGAGAGAAAATACATGGCCGGCAAGCCACTCCCATCAGGTCACATGGCCGGCAAGCCACTCCCACAAAGGAGGCCACACCCACAGAATAGGTTCCAAAAAATTTTGAAACCTACCACTGGACCAGGGTTCTGGCAGAGACTGCTGCCAGTTTGCTCAGGGATTCTTTTAGCTGGTTCTATTGCAATTCTCTCCTAGTTGTGATGATGCTCCTACTCATTAATAAAGGATGATCATCTGATGTATATATTCCACCTCCTGTCTCTATAAATGCTTCCATTCCAAATATTGCTTGTTCTTCATTGGCTTTAGGTGAAAGCTGGCTTAAGCAATGGTCATTGCTACAATCCTTCTCAAGTAGTTCTTGCCACAGGAGCAGTACCTGTAATTTAGTTCAGACCTTCATAAATCACTGAACATGCTGTTGTCCGCTGGTTTTTCACTTTTTCAGAGCTGGTTCCTGAAATATTTTTTGATTCCTTATTTTACAACCAGGAAAATGGATCTTCATCTGGGTGACAAAGAGCCTCTCAAAATCTGGCTGCTTCATCTGTTGGTGATCTGGACATTTAATTTGGTAAGAAGATCCTTCCTTCCTTTTTTCCTTCTTTCCCTTCTTCCTTCCTTCCTTCCTTCTATATGATCTGGGGTCATTATACATGATCAATAAATCTCTTTCTAGAGGAATACTTTTATCCTGTCTCTCTGAATCTGTTTTGGTTAGAAACTATCCATCTGTTAAGTTCAAAAGGTAAAGTTATTGGCGCTTTAAGATCTCTCATCAAGACAAGCACCAAAAATGAAGTTCCAGAAGAATAGAAAGCTCTCATGGAGAATAATTGGTTAATGTGTTTAATGTGAGTTGGGGAATGATATGAGAGGCTGCTCCAGGAAAGAAATGGAGTGAGCCAAACTCAGATGAAAATTGCCAAACCAGTTTGATGGCATTAAAAAAAAAATGGCTCATCCCCTGTGGCACATCCATGCAGAGCAAGGAGTCTGTTTTATCTCAGATTTGTTCACCCAACACCAGTCCGCCCAGAGTTTGGAAAATTCTGAAACTTATGAAGGGTTTTTTTTTTTTAATGTTTTCTTATGTTCTGAAGCTGTTGATAGAAAAGGTTTAATTATTGTAAATATTGCTGCTGAGAAGGGGGAAAAAAAACCTTTCGTTGAATCAGTTTGAGTATAATTACCACTAGCACTTTACGCTCATCAAAGTTGTGCAACAAATCAATAATTTTCATTAATTAAGATTATCATTTATTTTAGAATTTGTTGTAATTATTTTTAATTCATAACTTCTAATCTACCAATCTTTTCTTAATGTAAAACAGGGGAACATTTGCGAGAAACTGGGCCTCTGTGGTCAAATGAAGTTTGTAAGATTTGTATCGAGTTTAACGCCAGCAGGAAAGGATCCAAACATCTACCTTAGAGATACAACATTTGAGAATGTACCAGTAACGATTTACCAGCCCAAAAGAACAAATCCTGGCCTACGAAAAGGGCTGGTCTTCCTACATGGAGGATGTTACATGTTTGGAAGCAAAAGTAAGATATTTCGTATAATATTAACTTTCCTTTTTAAAATCTTCATGGGTGAAACGTATCTGCGATCAGTCAGTATTGTGGAAAGGGCGGGGGAGGAAGAAAGACAAATGATGGCTTTCCCAGAGTGCCTGGCTATGCACTCAAACCATCACGCTGCCTCCATTTCTGCTGGGTGTCCGAATAAGACGAGTAGAAAAGCTTAACTGAAATTGGAATGCACACACAAAGTCTCAGCTGAGGAACAATTATAGAAACACACAGCCATGCCAATCTAAAGTTAATGCCCAGCAAAAGATCCTTTTCCATCTGTTTCGAAAGTGGTCTTTCACAAGTCAAAATCTCTTCCAGAAGATCTTCATTGCTTGGGATTGCTCAAGATCAGAAGCTGCCTATTAGATTCTTAATCAGTCAGGTACCATCTCAGACAGGTAGATCCTAACCCAGGTAGGACTAGAACTAGCTTCTTTCTTTAGAGCTTAGAAATACATGTGTCTTGTTGGCTCATTGATGCTTCAAACACTATCATAGAAAGGAAGAAAATAATTTCCCTGGCTAATGGCTTCTTCCTAATGCAAATATTTAATGCACAATTTTGCATAGGTTTGCATCAACCTGCTTCCAAAAGGAACAGTTTTCAGAGTATAATTAAAGTATCCATTTGTATGTGTATTTTTGATGTGGCTTGCAATCAAAAATGTATTAAATAGTTCTTGCATTGCCTTTTTTTAATTCAACACCCAAAATACTCTTGCCCAAGTATCCTTTCAGTGAAGCGCCCTGTTCAAAACAGAAAAGGCAATGCAGAGAAGAAATTGGGACATTAGAAATTGGGACAGCAACATTGTATCAATAAAAGAGATATTATCTAGCTTGGTAATGAAACATTTGCAAGAAAACCACTAAACTCAGAGAGCACCAAGTACCCCACAGTACAATCCTGAGATACAAATGCTCTCTTCTATCTATATGATGTTGCTGTCCCAATTTCCAATGGTACCTAATCTGATTGTTGTTGTTAGTTGCGAAGTCATGTCCAACCCATCGCGACTCCATGGACAACATTCCTCCAGGCCTTCCTGCTTTCCATCATCCTCTGGAGTCCATTTAAGGTCACACCTACGGCTTCAGTGACTCCATCCAGCCACCTCATTCTCTGTCGTCCCTTTCTTCTTCAGGATCTGGCCTTCTAAAGAGCAGTCAGGGTTGATCTCCTCTAGGACTGACCAGTTTGATAGTTCTGCAGTCCAAGGGACTCAATGCAGGAGTCTTCTTCTCCAGCACCAGAGTTCAAAGGCCTCGATTCTTTGGCCCTCAGCCTTCCTTATGGTCCAACCTTCACAGCCATACATTGTAACTGGGAAATCCACAGCCTTCACTAGACACACTTTTGTTGGCAGGGTGATGTCTCTGCTTTTTAGGATGCTGCCTAGATTTGCCATAACTTTCTTCACCAGGAGCAAGTGTCTTTTAATTTCATGGCTGCAGTCTCCATCTGCCGTGGTCTTGGAGCCCAGGAAAATAAAATCTGTCACTACTTCCATTTCTTCCCCATCTACTTTCCAGGAATTGAGAGGGCCGGTTGCCACGATCTCAGTTTTCTTAATATTGAGCTTCAAGCCAACTTTTGGGCTCTCCTCCTTCACCCACATCAAGAGGCTCTTTGATGAGTGGAATCATCTGCATATCTGAGGTTGTTCATATCTGCCCTGGCGATCTTAATTCCAACGTTTGATTCATTTAGCCCTGCCTAGTTTGGTAATGATGCCAAATCTGGCTCTCAGTTCTACCTTGGCTTATCTTTTTCAATAAGCAACCAAGTTGAAAAGCAATCCATGAAAAAGGGGAATCTCGAGAAATCCATTACATTTACTTCTATGGCACAAGAAAAGAACTTGATTGGGTTAGAAATAGTCATCTGTCCAGTTACATCACAAGAATTAACACAACCAATAATATGTCAGTACAGCCATAGAAAAGAGCATTGTATTCTGAGTACAAGCAAAAGAAACATTTGCAAAGAAAAAAACATCAAAATGGATACAAGTAAGATATATTCTCAGTTATTCCCAAGGTTGAGGTTGACTATTTTTAAACCCTTTCATGCAATGTGGGCTATATGAAGGCCTTTCTTCAGTATCTTCTGAACTAGATCCCAAAAATAAGAAAAGGTCATGCATAAAAAACCCTCGTGCTGCATAATCAAGGCTGCCTGAACTCATAATAGTGGGCATTACCGCTCATTAATTTCAAACTGATTGTCCACCAAACTTTACCCACCATTAGGCTTTAAAAAGAAGAAAAAGGGAGAAAAGAACAGAGTAAAATGTTTGCTTTATGAAAACAAAACAATATCTAATTTCAACATTTTATTCATACAAAGATGCAAGGAAAAATGAAAATAAAGCTAAAATAGGGGAGAAAGGTGGAAATAGAGAAAAATGTAGGATAGAGGGCAGGAAAGTGGGGGAAAGCATTGACTCATTTTAGTGCAATAGAGTAATGAAATAACATGAAATCTCAAACTTTTACTTCTATATAATAATATATACTAGCTAGCAACTTCTATAATATCAAACCTATTAATCAACAAAACCCAAAATCAAAATATCATTTTTCCACCTCAAGCACAAAGTCCAAAAGCAGTTTCCATGTAGAAACAAAATTAATTGTGTTCTTTTCTTTAATCAAAGCTGTCCATTTAGCCACCTCTTCTAACTCTTTTGCAGCCATTTCTCCATTGTGGAAATCACAGCTTCCTTCCATTTTTGTCCATAAAGTAATCTTGCTGCCATCGACATATACAACATCAAAGTTCAAAAAAAAAAAATTTCTAAAAGAAAAGTCTCTGGTTTTATCTTTATATTCATTTTAAGAATCTTCTATATTATGATGTGAATCTTACTGCAACATTTATTTGCTTTATCATGACCATAAATGATAAAAAGTTCCTTCTTTACATTTACATTTCCAACACTCTTTTGAAATTCCTTTATATATTCTTGACAACTTATCTGCTGTGAGATACCAATGACACTCCATCATATAAAATTTTTCTTTTACATTATATTTCAGTGTAAATTTTAGACTTTTGTCCACATATTCTCCCGTAGTTCAAGCACTATACTATATACCAAATTCTTTGCCCACTGAATCATACAATGCTTTACATCCTCCTTCTCCAAATTCAAATTCAATAACAATTTATAAACTTTAGCAATAGGATATTCATCAATGCCACACGGTATGATATCCAATTCATTTTTCACAAAATCAAACTCTTTTTATCTAGTTTAGATAATAAACAGTGGCGCAGTGGTTAGAGTGCAGTACTGCAGGCTATTTCTGCTGATCACTGGCTGCAGGCTCAAAGTGGACTCAGCCTTCCATCCTTCCAAAGTGGGTAAAATGAGGGCTTAAATTATTGAGGGCAATAGGCTGGCTCTGTAAACCACTTAGAGAGGGCTGTGAAGTGGTATATAAGTCTCAGAGCTATTGCTATTAAATCTTCCTTGCAATTGCAAATATGTAAACCAATGGCAAATACCTCCTTCTGATTCTAACTCCTCTTTAGACCTGAGGATAGGGTCACTGTGATTGAAAGGAATTCTTTGGCTATAAGTCAAAACAATATCAATAACATGTTTGCAATGTGGAAGTGCCTGAACATTAATACTTATTTTTTTCCCCATAGATATTTATAATGGACTATGCTGCTATCTTTCTCGAGAAAGTGATTCAGTGGTAGTATTTGTAGAGTAAGTGATTTCATTTGTATACTTTGCCCACTTTATTTTTATGCATCTTTCAATATTTTTGCATGCTATTTTGTATTTACAGTTGTTAGGCTTGGCCACTGCTTGATGGGGCAAAAGGGGTAAAAATGATAAAGATAACAATTAATAAGTTTGGCTGCAATTCTGTCTCCCTGAAAGATTTTCCCAGGCACCCAGAAAATATATTTGCAGCCTCAAAGAGACATTCAGTCTCTCTCTCCACAGCGATCACACAACCATTAGTGACATTTTGCTCCCATCAAAGGTGTTTCAAAATCAGGAAAAGCAAAGTAATAAAATTGGAGCATATCAAAGGAACATTTGGATTGGCACAGGACACAGTTTTGTTATTCTCCAAAAATTCCCAGGGAAGACTTTCGGCCCTGGAGGCATCATTCATTTCTTTCCCACTCCTCCAATCATAAAAGTAAAGAGGAAGAGGAGAGGGAAATGGCTAATTTCTCCTCTTTCCTGAGTCAGAAAAAGGAGGATCAGTTCCCTTCTTTGGACTTTCTCCATCAAAAAAAAAAGCAAAGTAAATTATGCAAAAGTACTTTAAGGATCTGCAGAGAAAATACTGCACATTATGCAACTTTGCCAAAAGCTGCCCTGTGATTTCATCCCTTTTGTCTTGCGTAAATCAGGTTCACAAATCCAAATTTATTTTATCTCAGAACTCCCAGATCTGTTTTGAAAGAGAGGCCTAAATTAGTTTAGGAAATCGGGAATTTCCTTTCTTCTGCCTCCTGGTGGCAGAGATACATTACCCTTGAGAAGAAATTAAGGACGTATAGGGAGTCTCAACTTACGACCACAATTAAGCCCAACGTTCCTGTTGCTAAGTGAAACATTTGTTAAGTGAGTTTTGCAACATTTGATGACTTTTCTTGCCTTTTGGCAAGTTAGTGACGCGGCTGTTAAGGGAATCTGGTTTACCCATTGACTTTGCTGGTTAGAAGGTTGCAAAGGGGAATCACGTGACCTTAAGACACTGCAACCGCCATAAATAGGAGTCAGTTGGATTTTGATCACGTGACCATGGGGAGACTGAGTGGTAGTCAGTGTGAAAACGCACTCTACATGGGGCTGCCCCTGAAGAGTGTCCGAAGACTACAGCTAGTCCAGAATGCAGCCGCACGAGCAATAATGGGTGTACCTAGATACACCCATGTTGCACCCATCCTCCGCGAGCTGCACTGGCTCCCCATTGGTCCCTGGACACTCTTCAAGGTGCTAG